GTCTCTACTCATCCCCTCCTTCAATCATCCGCACATGCCACTCAATTCATGTCCCTCCAGCTCTCCTTTAGTCAACTAGTGCACACAAAAACGTGGGGTGGCCCCCACTCGTGTGGGAGGTCATCCCATTATGCCCCGGTGTGTACAACCGGCCCCGAAAGTTGTATTTCTCGGACTGTTTTAACTATATTTTATTTTGTCGGGCCAAATAAAATATATCACGCATTCCTCATAATCATGGGCCTTTAGAGTAGATGTACGTTCCCCAACATTAATTTAGGAGTCCCCGAAATTTATTTCGGGCTGTTATCCGATAAATTACCAGTACCGATAATTGGGCCTCGTTTGACCAACAGGTCAACTCCATGCCCTTTCCATGGCCCAACTAAATATTTGGGAGTCTATTCCCATTATTAGGGACCCGATAAATAATTTAATTAATCACGCATTAATTAAATATACCAATTCCGTTACGCGATTTTATTCGTTAGGAAATTCAAATATATATCAAATTCCAAATTCAAGTTCATCCGGGTGCGGTGTCACAACCAATGACCCATCTGCAGTCACAGAACCACCTCCTGTTTCTGGACAAAAAAGGAAAAAGGTTGAAGTCAATACAGTCAGATCTAAGATTTGGGAGCACTTTTCCATGATTAAGGATAGCAACGGTGTGGTTATTAAGGGCAAGTGTGATTATTGTGCCAAAATTTATTGTTGTCACTCAAAAAAACATGGTACTTCCTCCATCAGGAATCACATGCTCAGCTGCTTAAAAAAAACCCATGCTAAAGACACTAGACAAGCCCTTTTAACCTTTCAATCAATCCCTCCATAGCATGGTCAACCTTCTGAAAATGTTGGGGTCATAGGAACCTGGGTCTTTGATCAAGATGCTACTAGGAGAGCTCTAGGAGAAATGCTAATCATTGATGAGCTTTCTTTTAGATTTGTAGACAGACAAGGTTTCAGGAAGTTTATGTCAGTAGCATGTCCTAGATTTGTAATACCTTCTAGGTGGACAATTGCTAGAGACATCTATCAAATATACCTTGATGAAAGACTTATCCAAAAAAAGATGTTCAGGGAACACAGTCAAAGAGTCAGTATTACCACTGATACATGGACCTCTGTACAGAGGATAAATTACATGTGTATAACTGCTCATTTCATTGATGATCAGTGGAAGCTTCAAAAAAGAGTCATTTCCTTTGTCCCTGTCACTTCTCACAAAGGGGAGTACCTAGCTAAAGCCCTAGAGACTTGTTTGCTTGAGTGGGGTCTGAGAAACATTTTCACTGTGACACTAGACAATGCTAGTAGTAATGATACTGCTATTGGGTTTTTTAAGAAAAAATTGATGTCTTGGGGTGCTTCTTCTGTGAAAGTCAAGTATGTTCATATGCGTTGCATTGCACACATTCTGAACTTAGCTGTCCAAGATGGGCTTAAAGATGCTGATAGTTCTGTTAAGAGAATTAGGGAAGCTGTTAAGTATGTTAGGAACTCACCTGCTAGACTGCAGAAGTTCAAAGATATATCTAACTTGATAGGAGTGGAAGCTAAGTGTGGTCTGCACTTGGATGTTCCAACTAGGTGGAATTCCACTTACCTGATGCTTAAATCTGCTATTTCTAATGAGAAAGTGTTTGAAGCGGATGAGGAGAATGAGAGTGCATTTGGTACTGATTTGGGTAATGACATTCCTGATGTTTTAGACTGGATTGCAGTTGAAACTTTTGTGACCATTTTACATAATTTTTATGAATTGACTCTTAGAGTTTCTGGTGCACTCTATGTTACTTCCAATACCTTCTTTTCTGAAATATCTGATTTGTTCCTTGTCCTAAAAGACATGGTTGCCTCTCCATCTGCTTCTGCCAGTGCAATGGGGACTACTATGAAAGCAAAGTTGGACAAGTACTGGGGTGATCCTGAAAAAATGAACTCCTTGATCTTCTTTGCTAATGTGTTAGACCTTAGGGACAAGTATGAGTATATGCCATTTCAGCTCAATGCTTTATATGGTGAAAAAAATGGTGCCTTGTTTTTTGCCAAAGTGAAGTCTGGCCTCATTGAGTTATATGCTAATTATGTTGTTACATACTCTGAATGTGTTGGTGGAAGTTTTAATTCTAGTTCACATAGTGCTGCATCTGTGGAAGTCAATAATGCTGAGCACAGACCAGTGTCAAGATTTAAGGCTGAGTTAAAAAAAAAACTAGAGAATGGTCAGTTAGGAGTTAAAAAAACTGAACTTGATATATATCTTGAAGAGTCAATAATTGAGGAAGATATGGACTTTGATATACTGAGATGGTGGAAGTTAAATAATAGTGAAAGATTTCCTATTCTATCTAAGATGGCTAGAGATGTACTTGGTATTTTAATCTCCACAGTAGCTTCTAAATCCACATTCCGTACCAGTGGTAGGATTTTGGACTGTTTTAGAAGTTCTTTAAGTCCCAAAATTGTGGAAGCCCTTATATGTGCACAAGATTGGTTGAGAATGGCTAATCAGCCTATTTCAGTTGAAGAAAACATGGATGATGTGGACAGATTAGAAAAAGGTAGTACTGTTATGCCTTTTTTGTTTCTTTAAACATAATTTGTAATAGAATGTTTTCATTTTTCATTTCTAACACTGGTATTTCTTTGTTTTATAGAATTAACATATGTAAATCTTGGTAGTGCTGCTACTGGGGCTACTGGATCCTCTAATGGCCCATTGAGTGTACACTTTTTGTTTGCATTGCTAATTTTTGGAATTAATTTGTGAAGCATTTCATAATGAATTTGAAAATTTGATTATCTGACTATGATGCCTCATTGTGGAACTGGAAAGAACTAGTGAACTACTATGATGGAATTAAGATTCCACTCATTCCAGCGCCCACTTGGTACAATGTTATTGGCCCCTTATCCGTTTGTCCCTTGGTCCCTTGGAAAGCTTGCATGGTAAACCACTTTTATATTACAGTTCATACCTATGATGACATGAAAACACATTTGGCTGTGATGAATGTTTCCAGGGTTTATAGTTTTCACTTTAAACTTTTGACTAATTATCCCATGACTCATGGATGATTGTGTTGGTGTTAATCCTGTTTGGATAGTATGCCCATATCCTTTGTGAGATCATATGTGAGATAACTTGGAATCAATCTGAGCCTAAATTTGCATACCTTAAACTGTTTATGAGTATTTACTTTTAAAGTTTATGAGTATTTACTTTTACAGTTTACTTATACAGGATGAAATATCCAATATGTTAATTTGATGGTCTGGGGTCTGGAATCTGGAATGTTCACTGTGGAGCATGGAGTATGTGTGAAGTAATGAAGTAATCATCTTGTACTGGTATGCTGCTGTTAATTGTTAAATATCGGTCTGATATGTCTGATAAGTATGTGGAAGTTCTGATTTTATAAAAATAGCTCAATCTGTATCTTCTAAGTATTATTTTCATAGTATACTCCAATTCTTTGTGAAGTTGATACTTGTTTATGTCTTCTACTGGTAATCTGATATAGTGGTATGCTGCTGTTAAGCTTGTATATAGTCTGACTGTCTGATTTTAAAATGAAATAGAATTGGATTGTCATTTTCTTTTCCAGTTTATCTTGTGACCCTATTATAACATATCAGTCTGATATATGATATATTAAGTAATATATATGGCAATGATGAAGCTTCCACTCATTACTGAATCTAAGGGGTTTAGGGTAGGTATTGCTCTTTCAGTTCTTAAGTGAGAACTGAAGTGGTAGCGGATGCCCCCTATCCTTTATGAATGATAATAAGCATTCTGAGCCATCTCATTGTCTTCTATAGTCATTTGGGAATTGGGAAGTTCTGATTTTGTAAAAATAGCTCATTCTGTATCTTCTAAGTATTATTTTCATAGTATACTCCAATTCTTTGTGAAGTTGATACTTGTTTATGTCTTCTACTGGTAATCTGGTATAGTGGTATGCTGCTGTTAAGCTTGTGCTTGTATATAGTCTGAGTTTAAAATGAAATATAATTGGATTGTCATTTTCTTTTTCCATCTATCTTGTGACCCTATTATAACATATCAGTATGATATATATGAATTGTATGTATAGTCATTTGGGATCTTCAGAAGTTCAGAATTCTGATTTTGAAAAAAGACTTAATCTGTTTCTTCTAAGTATTTTTTCATTGTATGCTTCAATGCTTTATGAATTTGATACTTGTTTATGTATTTGATGTTGTATCCAGGTAAATAGGTCATCAACTTGTGATGTTTTGGCATGTTAAAGCTGGGAAGTGGACAATTGGTCAAGTTATCAAGTATTGAAGTACTCTACTACTCAACTACTCAAGTGTGAACTGTGAAGTGGAAACTTATGATTTTGCCGTTTGGGAATTTTGAATGGCAGCTTGTGAAGTTGTAACATTCATAAGTTTGTACTTTAAAGTTTAAAACATTGTAATGAGTAAACTTAGTCCCATTTCATTTTGTTATCTTTTTTGGATTAAACTCAATATGGTTTGATTGTAAACATCAAAGTGACAAAGTTCAAATTGTATTTAAAGTCTGATTTTTTTGGCTATTTTTGTAACCCGATTTAACCCGAAACCCGACCCGCACCCGACATAAACCCGAAAATTAAAAACCCGAAAATTATTTATTTTAAATGCATAGGATCGGGTATCCATTCAGGTCACCCGATACCCGATAGGGTCTTGGGTTTTTCAAACCGCCCGACCCGAACCCGACCCGTGCTCTCCCCTATGTAAAACTCATGTAGATTATATAGCAACATTGAGCACGATGTGTTTATATCCCTATTTGATAAACCGCAAAGGTATAAACAAAATAATACTCGGTATTCTTCTTCGTTGTTCCATTTCCGTAGAGATACAAACGTATATATATGTAAGAGTTGAATAGTCTAAAAGGAAATATAATAATTAGATACCAAGAATAAAATATTACATATATTAATCATATATCTCCGAATATATTCTTTCCCACTTTCGTAATACCCTCCCTCAAGTTGGAGCATGAGGATCCAGAATACCCAACTTGCCCAGAAGAAAGTGAAACTGAGTTTTCCCAAGAGCTTTAGTAAAAATGTCCGCAAGCTGCATAGTGGTAGGAACATAGCTGGGGGTAATGAGACCGGTTTTGATAGCATCACGAATAAAGTGACAGTCCACCTCAATATGTTTTGTTCGTTCGTGAAATACTGGATTCCTGGCAATATGCAATGCAGACTGACTATCACAAAACAACGGAATAGCTTCGTCGTGATTAATCCCAAGACTAAGAAGTAAAGCTTTGAGCCATTTAAGTTCACATGTCGCGGCAGCCATAGCCCGGTATTCTGCTTCCGCGGAAGATCGAGAAACAGTCGATTGCTTTTTGGTTTTCCAGGAGATAGGAGAATGCCCAAGAAAGACCAACCATCCAGACAAAGAACGACGAGTGAGAGGACAAGCAGCCCAGTCAGAATCACACCATCCCGTAAGAGAAAGCTCACTATCGGCACGCAAAAGAATGCCCTGTCCAGGAGAACCTTTTAGATAGCGAACCACACGAAGTGCAGCATCCCAATGAGCCTGACATGGAACCTGCATAAACTGAGACAAAATGTGAACAAAATACGTCAAATCTGGCCGAGTTACAGCAAGATAAATAAGCCTCTCGAGAAGACGGCGATACGGCTCCGGATCAGAAAGAGGGGGTCCTTGAACTTTAGCAAGTGAATGATTTTGGTCAATCGGAAAGTCTGCAGGTTTAGCTCCCAGAAGTCATGTTTCAGATAAAATATCCAAGGTGTATTTACGTTGTGTGAGAAAAAGACCCGAGGGACTGCGAGCGACTTCGATGCCAAGGAAATATCGGAGTGGTCCCAGATCTTTCATATGAAAACAGTCACTGAGATAAGATTTAAAATGAATAATAGCATCATGATCATTGCCTGAGATAACCAGATCATCCACATAAATCAAGACATTCAGCTGAGTAGTTCCCCGAGTACGTGTGAACAAAGAATACTCAGCATAGGATTGAAGAAAACCATATCCTTTAAGAGCTCCAACTAGTTTAGCGAACCAGCAACGAGGAGCCTGTTTCAAGCCATAAAGAGATTTATGTAGCCGACATACAAGAGAAGAATCAGATGCAGCATAGCCCGGCGGAACCTGCATGTAAACTTCTTCATCTAAATCACCATGCAAGAATGCATTATGGACATCCATTTGATGGAGTTCCCAATTTTTGGAAGCTGCAACAGCCAAGAATGCACGAACCGTGACCATTTTGGCTACCGGAGCAAACGTTTCGGTATAATCGAGCCCCTCAATTTGACGGTTGCCAAAAATAACTAAACGAGCTTTGAGCCGTTCAATACTGCCATCACAGTTATATTTGATCTTGTACACCCAACGACAACCCAACGCCCTTTTTCCAGGCGGAAGAGGCTGCATGGTCCATGTTCGATTTTCTTCAAGCGCGCGAATTTCAGCACGCATGGCATCACGCCAACCAGCATCTTGGACAGCTTCTTTAAAGGAAGCACGTTCTTTACTAACAGAGAGAGCTGCCAAAAAAATTTGATAGCGGGGAGAAAATTTATCACAACTAATATAATGAGCTATAGGGAACGGTGTACCTGAGTTGGCCGATGAAGAGGATGGAGCGGGGAATGGACTATGATGCAAAATGTTATGTGTCTCAAAGTCTCGTAATTTGACCGATGGAAGCTTGAGACGTTTCCAACGGCCCAATTCAGGAGATGAAGGTCTAGAAGTATAGGGTACCTCAGATCTCGTATTTGTAGCAGTAAAAGAATTTGGGTCTCCAGTGCTCGGAGGGCCGGGACCTTTCGGAGCAAGTGCATTAGAAGGATATTCCCAAGTGTCCAGAGGCGGTAATGGTGGAGACTCCTCCGGGATAACAACCGAAGATGTGGAAAAAGGGAATGTATTCTCAATAAATTTGACATCTCATGAAACAAAATACTTCTGAGACTCGAGGTCATACACACGCCTTCCTTTCTTACCAAAAGGGTATCCAATAAAAACACATTTTTGACTCCTGCTTAAAAATTTGTCTCTGGTAGATCAGAGATTATAAGCAAAACACAGACACCCAAATACCCGAAGAGTATCATAATCAGGGGGCTTTCCAAAGAGTATTTCAAAGGGAGTTTTGTGTTGAAGTACTTTAGGAGTCCGATTAATAAGGTGGGCAGCAGTTAGGACACATTCCCCCCAAAAATTGATGGGGAGATTTGCCTGGAATCGGAGGGCACGAGCAACATTAAGGATGTGTCGGTGTTTACATTCAACACGACCATTCTGTTGTGGTGTTGCAACACAAGATGTATGAAAGATGATCCCAGAAGTACGGAAAAAAACTTTAAGACAATTAAATTCCGTCCCATTATCATTGCGAACAATTTTAATACTTTGAGAAAATTGACGCTCCACCATAGCACAAAAATTCATAAACATGGAAAACACTTCTGTCTTATCAACCAAAAGATATACCCAAACAGCACGGGAGAAATCATCAACAATAGTCAGAAAACTTTTAGCTCCGCAAGAAGAGGGCGTATGATACGGTCCCCATAAATCACAATGTATAAGCTCAAAAATACGAGTACTTTTGCTAACACTAAGAGGAAAAGCATCTCTAGCATGTTTAGCTCTAAAACAAATTTCACAGGGTGGTGTATCAATTGTGGGATGTCCACTTACAGGTCCAAGCCATTTCATAACACTTTCTGAAGGATGTCCCAACCGTTGGTGCCAGGTAGTCATAGTCTCAGTTCCTTTATGGACACCAAAAATAAAAGCACAAGAGATGTCCTGAAAATAGTAAAGTCCATTCCTCCGTTCACCCGCTCCAATCAGCTCCCTCGAGTTCCGGTCCTGAATAACACAAATATTAGAAGTGAATTGAATAAAACAATCAAGATCTTCTGCAAGTTGAGATACCGAAATAAGGCTGCAGTTTAATTTTGGAACAAATAACACATGAGATAACTTTATTGAGTCAGATAAGCGAACACATCCCACTTTGGTAGCCATTACTTTTTGGCCGTCGGGGAGTCCAACCAAACACCCATTAATATCCTTGACATCGCTTAGGCAAGAAAGATTCCCGGTCACATGATTAGACGCACCCGTATCAATTATCCAAGAATACTCTACTATTAGTAGGAGAGTATGGTTTACCAAAAGCTGTCAAAAGGTTCTGCCAATGTTCGGATGTAATTCCTGGAAGCAGGGCCGTCTCTAGAACTTTTTGGGCCCTAGGCATAAACTAAAATATATCTTCATATTAGTGAAAATTGTTGGACATAAGATACTCCCTCCGTCCCATTTATATTGTCTCGTTTTACCTTTTCGGGAAGTCCCACTTAAATTGTCACATACCATATTTGATAAAGTTTGTGTGACTTTAAATCATTCTTAATTTATTCTTACTTTATCAATTAATATCAATCACACAAGCTCACTTTTCTTAATAATCGTGTCACCCTCTTCTGGGACAATATAAATGGGATGGAGGTAATATCATTTAGAGAATAATTGCTTAAAATTTTACATTAAAAATTAGATTTTATAATTTTTGAATTTAATATTTCAAATCTTCATTCAATATAAAGTTGAATTAATATAAAACGCTATGATTTGCTAAAGGATACTTACCATGAAATTGAATTAAAGTAAATTTATTACTCCCTATCACACTCGAGATATCTCTAACTTCAGTATTGAGGGTCTTTCGTTTTCGAAACTGAAAAAAAACTTTTGGAAAACATGGTAAATTCAACAAATGACCTATAATCTTCAATCTTTGTAATAACAGTTAGCCTGATTCCCGATTGATATTGTGAAGATTGTCATTTTTTACTTAGATTTTGGAATTGTGCGAGGCTTAGAACCCATTTGGCATTACCAAAATCGGTTGAATCAGCTGATTCTGCTGAAATGTATGAAAGTCTGGCTGAATTGGGTGATTCTGCTGATACATTAAAAAATTATATTTCAAAAATATGTGTAAAAATAACTAAAACAGTTCTCTACAATATCTTCAGCCAATACAGCCAGAAAAGTAACTCGGGGTTTACTTTTTCCTGTTATTTCGCAATTCAGCGCGCCAAAACAAAAATTATGTGTTTGGTGGAAAAGTGGGCTGATAAGGTGAAAAATTTTCTGATAACGGTCACTTAGAGTCCTAACTAATACTATTTCATCCTAACTATCGCGTATTACCGTATTATTCTACTTGAGTAATTTTTAGTATGGTATGTTCAATATTAGAGAATTACGGAGTATTAATCATCATTAAATGAGTTGCACTATTTTATTTAGTCCAAACTTCTAAGTGGACATTTTAATTAGTAAGTTGTATTATATTATTATACGTAGAACTAATAATTGAACAAGTTATTTATATTATTATACGTAGAACTAAAAGACCAAGTTCTTAATGGTGCCCCATGAATTGATGGTGCTCTAGGCATTTGCCTAGGTGCCTCCCATCTATGGACGGCCCTGCCTGGAAGAGGTTTCCCTTCCTCACGTTCGAGCTGTCCAGTTGGTCTATCTGCAACTACCGCATCTGTGCGAGAAATTGAAAAAAAAAAAAAAAAAAAAAAAAAAAAAAGTGCGGCGGCAAGAGCTCTTACAACACTGTCACGCTCACACCCAACGATGGCACCTCCATGTCTGATTCCTCCACATCCCTCAGTTTGATCTTCACCCGGTCTGCCAGGCTGCCCCAGGAGGAATGACGAAGCTGAACAATAATCTACGTCGTCCCCTACTGCCATCACCGAGATTGACGGTGCTGAAAATTTTCCTTCACAGATGAGTTTTCCCTTGCTCTAATACCATGATAAACCGCAAAGGTATAAACAAAATAGTACGGAGTACTCTGTATTCTTCTTCGTTGTTCCATATCCGTAGAGATACAAACGTATATATATGTAAGAGTTGACTAGTCTAAAAGGAAATATAATAATTAGATACCAAGAATAAAATATTACATATATTAATCATATATCTCCGAATATATTCTTTCCCACTTTCGTAATACTATTACTTTATGAATAAATACGTTTTAGTATAAACTATATTTCGAACTCATTAATTTAGGTATACTCGTATAGCTAAAAGATTACATAAATTAATATGATGTTATAAATCATTTTATAACATCATATTATATAATATGATTTTATCTGAAAGATGGTAACTGATCATATATAGTTGAATGATATCTATTATTAATATCTTGATTTAGGTATCCGTATCATTATTAAAATACTTATAAGATTTATAACCATATTATAAATCATATAAATTGATTTACATCTCATTACTCTATATTTGTATGCAAACGTATGTAAATATAGGTTTAAATACCCTATATTTACATACGTTTTGTAAACTTAATATTTATAGTTTTGTACAATTACATATTAAAATTATCTCATATCCTAGGGATATTAATAATAGATATCATTCAACTATATGATCAGTTCAATATGATCACTTACCATCTTTCAGATAAAATCGGACCACACAGATCCATATTGGAGAGACAATATTGCGGAGAATAGTGATAAAATATATGATGTCGTTAGGCAAGATAAAATATCAGCTACAAATGAATTTAGGGTGTTTTACCAAAGGGAGTCGGAACTGCTTGTTCCGACTAGCAGCATGGTTCTTGAAAAACAAAAAATCCCCTCCTGTCGGAAGTGGCTAATCCGACAAGGAGGAGTTTATATTTTTCTTTTGGCCGAATTCTTAGTTCTTAACTCTTTGATTTTCAAATTTTTAAAAGTCGGTTATAAAAAAATTAAAACTAAAGTTTTAAATTAATTTTATCAATTCCAAATTTAAAAGTTTTTTTAAATTCCTGTCATATTTTTTAAAATGAAAATAATGCATTTTGATTTTTTGAGTAACAAAACATTTGATTGCTTTATATTGTTTTTTAATCCATTTGTGTTGTGAATTTTGTTTTAAATGCAATTTTTGTAATTTTAAGTGCAATTTTTGTAATTTTAATGGAAGTGAACAAAACAACGAATAGACACTAATTTATTAATGAATAGATAGTATATACGATATTAAATTTAATACTACATCTAACGTTGCGTGCTCGGCCCTGCTCCGTCCCCACCACCAGTGTTCCAAGTCCTCGTTGTGTCTCCATAATAAAATGACGAAATCAGAATTGACTCAACATAATCACCTGCCTGTGTGGAGTACTGATAAGAATCATAATACGGCGGCGGTTGATCAAATGATACACCTCATTTCCTCCACAATAAAAGACCAATTCCTATATACTTCTAAGCTCAGTTTAGACAAGTTATTTCTTTATAATTTCTTCATGTTTAGTCTCTAAATGAGGAGCTAAACTCTTACATCTTGGTTTTGCTACTTTGAAGCTTAATGAATTGTAAGTTGTGAGTTGTTTTCTTTAAGCTTTTTCCTTGAATATTAATTAATTCATATTCTTATTTCATATTAATATTTTGAGCATTACTTAAAGGATCAACTAGTTTTGTTTCATATATTAATTAATACTAGAATCGGTCGATTAATACGCTTGTTATTAATTCGGTCCTTTCACGGTAGTAAACTTGGATTATTAATGCATGCGTCTCATGGTTAATAATCTAAGGAGAATTAATTATATTGATTAAACCAATAAACCGCTTGTGTTAAGGTACTCAATCTCAATCGTTTTCATCTTGATTTTATTGCTACTACCGAGTGAATATACGGCGTGTGTTCTATATTGGCTCGGTAGTAAGTTTTATTAATGAACGTGTCTCGTTATTAATAAATACCCTCAATGAATTGGATATATTCCTCGATTGAGTATTCGAGAGGAAGATAGTTAAAGATACAACCGGGATCGACGAACATTTCATTAAGTGGATAAAAGCAAAACCAAGTCCCCTCATCATTAATTAGACCACATAAGTCGTTCATTTTCGTGCTGATGAAATGAGACACCTTGACGTGTTGAGACTTGAGGGGGCTATTGTGATTGTTCACCCCCCATCTTCATGTTCATCTGCATCTTCACGTTTAAAAATTTTAAAATAGAACTGCCATATTTGTATGCTCAAAATAGGAATAATTATTGTCAAGGTCAAAAAATATTGACATGTTTAAAGTCTGGTACATTCAAAACATAGTAATAACTAGTCATATTTGGGAATAAAAATAAGACAATCCTAATTTGAAATATAAATTTGATTTTTTTAAAATGCAATATATGTAATTTAATGGAAGTGAACATGCCAAATGTAGTTTTTTAATGTAATTCCATAAATAAATTTGTACATACAATAATAAATTTAATTCTACATCTAACGTTGCGTGCTCGGCCCTGGCATGTCCTCGCCATGTCGGGGTGTAGCCTGTCGCCGGCACAACGTGAGAAGGGTTCCCGACACATGACATCCTTTGTTTTTCGTAATACAGCGTGTATCCACTATTATGTTGGTCCGCCCACCTTGTCAAGACAGATGTTGATATGACGGAACGACTAGTATGATGATCATTACCCTGCTCAATTTATGTGATTAGATTTATCTGATTAAAATTTATCTGATTAAACTTTACTCGGGTATTTGATTAGATTTATCTTATTAAAATTTATCTGATTAAACTTATCTTTTTTAATTTATCTATTTCATTTTATATGATTAAATTTATCTAATTAAGATTTATTTGATTAAAATTTATTTGATTAAAATTATCTGATTAGATTCATCTGATTAAGATTTATAAGATTAAAATTTATCTGATTAAATTTATCTGAACAAATTTATCTGATTAGATTAATCTGATTAAAATTGAACACGTACATAAATATTATACTTGGAACCAAATATTTGGCTTTTATTGTTCGATCAATAATTTGTAGAAAAAGAAAACGATCTACCTAGTTTGATCTTTTTTTTTAAAGGCCAGATCTACCAATTCTGAAAGGAGGGAAAAGAAATTGAGCAAATCTTCCTAGTCGGATTTACCAATTCCGACAGGAGGTGTGCAATGAAAATATAACTCTGGTCGGAACACGGAATTCCGACTTACGTTTTTGGGTAACCTAAACGTAAGTCCCGTGTTTTGGCATGTCAGACTCGAAACTCCCGTTTTTTGGTAATTCTTTCAATGAATTTATGTCTCAATATGGATAGTTTGTGTCCCCTATCAGAAGTAAAATATGCGCATATGAGGTGACACAAACTTGCCTCAATATGAATAGTGATAAAATATATGATGTCGTTAGGCAAGATAAAATATATGATGTCGTTAGGCAAGATAACATCATTAGACTGTTGATCTATATCTAACGAGTAATTGATATTTACACCGTATCTTACCATTGGTTCTTCTAAGGTTCCAACACATAGAAGACACCGTGTCCCCTGGATTAGTACCTAGTTTGTCACGGTATAAATAATTGTGACATTGTGTACACCATATAGGTAACTCGTATTTTATCAAAAACTTGTGTCACTCGAAGGTAACTCGTAAAATATCACTATAGTTTTTATCACTATTTTATCAAAAACTTGCCTAAAACTCGCATATAAAATATCAGAAGTAACTATAAGTACAATTGCATAAAACTCGCATAAATATGCGCAGTATCATTCCAAAGCAATATGTAGACGCTCCTAATTAAGGAAAATTTTATGGTACCTGCACGTTAGGAACTGAAGTTATTGATCTAAATAGGACTAAAATAGATGATTAATGCAAGAATAGGACTACAAGTTTTTTTATTCCCAAAATAGGATTGTTTTCTACTTTATTCCCACTCTACCCCTTTTTTCTCACGCACAACTCATACACACGCACCGAAAATTTTTCCCTTAGCTTCTCTCTCCTCTCTCCTTTCTTCTCTCCCCCTCTCTTTTCTCTTCACGCACTAAATTAGATCTGGGAAGAAGCTCTTTCAAGCAATAGATCTGGCTCCAACCTAACTTCATCTTCCAGCTCTCACATATCTCTGGATTTTAAATACAATTAAATTCCTCCATCTCCGACCGATTTTAAAAGTATCAACGGTGGTTTTTTTCTGGAGCTCCGGCGGGTGGCGGCGGCGAGCAGCGGCGAACTCATAGGTAAGATTCGAATTCCTCCTCCTCTTCTTCTCCTTCCTCCTCCTCTTTCTTCTTCTTATTTTTCTCAACCTTCTTCTTCTTCATTGTTCTGCTTCTCCTCTGATTTTTTATTTTTCGAATTTATTTTTGAAAATGAAAATTTATGTTTGATATTTATGTTTTCTTTTTATTTTTGAAAACAAAAATAACATCATTATTATTATTTCTCCAAAAATACCATCTATCGGAACTTAATTTCAGAATAATATTAGTACCTTTATAATATTATTCCTTTGAATATGAAAAAATCACTTTAAGAATGAATGTCATTTTTATGACATAAATGTCATTTTTATGGCATTAATGTCATTTTTTCAATCTGAATATGTCATTTATTTCTGTCAAGATGGCAATAAAGACAATATGATAATACTTACATTTTTAATATTAGTCCTCTAAATGTGAAAATGTCACTTCGAAAATGAATGCTATTTTTATGGAACTAAAGATACAAAGATGTCAATAATACTCTTATAAAAGACATTAATTCCATTTTTCAAACTGAAAATGTCATCTTATTTCTTTCAGGATGGTAATAATATCATTATAAGATGACAATACAATTGCAAGATGTCATTTGTATGACAATATTAACA